AAATAATTAAAATTTTATATAAATATAATATATAAAATTTATATATAAATAATTTTTTTAATTACTATTTGACGAAGACTTAATGTCACTAAAAGTTTTTAAACTTTTGAGAAAAAGTCATTATTATCCTTCTATTTTAAAATAATTCATAACAATCCCTCGACTTTAGAGATAAGGTCAACAATCATCCCTCTGTTAACCACTATTAATGAATGTCAGAAACCTATGTCAACAGAATTAACTTTTCTGGCCGTGGTGTCTTTAATTAAGCATTTAATTACATGCTGACATTGCTCTCATTAGACATTAAAATGCGGATACAGCTAGGCCTGGCAAATGCGCGAGTTGTATAGGGTTTGGATTGGGTTAATTTGAATGATGGATTATACAAGTTGAGTCATAAATATATTATGGGTTGTAAAAGTTTAACTTTAATATGATTCTATTGGATTATGTATTAACTTGTTGATTGATCTTATTTTTATTATTTGTAATTATTTTTATTAATTTTATTATATATAAATAAAATTATATATATCTAAATCTAATTAAGGTATTATAAATCATTAACACTACGCACTTTATAATTTTAACCACAAACATGTAAATTAAAAAAATTTGTAAACTTATAAATAATAGTAAATTGATTAACAATATTAAAGTTAAAATATTTAAATTTCTTGAAAAATAAAGTTTTAATTTTATAATCATCTTGAAACATTATCAAGGAGTTTATGTCTTTTTTTTTTTTAATGATGAAATTGTTCTTCCAAGAACATCTTTCACTAAATTATTATGTTTATATCCTAATATCACATCTTATATTTTTTATTGCATTATCATTTAATTCATAATACTTAGTAATTAGATCAAACTTGCATAATTTCTAGAGAAAAAAAAAATTATGATGAGTAAACACACAAAATAAGTTCAAAACCATTTGAGTAATAAAACCGAGGTTGAAGAGTATGAATTAATGAAGAGAATTACCAATAGGAAAATTAATTAAGAATAATAAGTTTAATATTTTTAAAAATAATAATAAAAAAATAAAACAAACAAGTTAACCCATCAACCTGTGGGTTAACTTTAACCCGACCTGTAATCTATAGAGTTGATATTATGAGTTATATACGGGTTGTGGGTTAGGATATGTAAACCCTAACTTATTTTTACTGGTTAAGTTAAGATCAAGTTAACTGGTCAAGTGGATTTTTGCCACCTCTAAATATAGCACACATTAAACATTTAATATTTTTCTTCACCCACCATTGGTGAAAGGTATGAGATTTTCTTCACCCACCTAAAAGTTTCAAAAAAATAAAAAATAATATTTAATTTATCAATTATCTAATTAAATTTATTCACATAACATTAATACTAAAATTAATGTTTATTTTTATATTTTTCTATACAAATTTATTATAGAAAGGTGCCCTTAACCTATTTCATGAAGTGTGCCATGAAGGATGATGCACCGTTTCATTCATGTGCTTTTTGGGGTGTTTGAGAGGGAAGAAAGGGGATTTTTTTTGGTTTATGGGAGGTGAAGAGAAATAATTGAGGGCCGGCAACCATTTTAGGGAGATTTGGGTTTATATTTGTGTTATACTTGGATTTGATATTAGAAGGTTTTAGGGCTTATAGAAGGCAAAAGAAAAGGAAAAGGAAGAGTAAATGGGAAAAGGACAAACAAAGGAAGGAAACCAGAAAAAAAAAAAAAAAGAAAAGAAAAGAAAAGAAAAGAAAAGGGAATTTTTAGAGTTTTTTTTGTCATGCTGTAAATTCTACTTGTCAAATATTTTTACATATCATTTTTCTCTTGTAGTGAGACTTGTGCACCCGCAGCACTTATTACATTGGATAAGGTGCATATATTCAAAGGCTATGACCTTGGTTATAATCCTTGTAAACCCTCCTCTCTCAAATTCCCCCCATGTTTCAAAAAAAAAAAAAAAAAAGTAATGGGACTTGTCAATGAATTTTTAATAGAGAAACTAATTTAGAGTTAAATTATTAAATTTTAGGGATTAAATCAAAAATTTTTTTAATTAAGAGACTAACTCAGAGATTCATATGATAGTTGAGATACTAATTATGGGTTTAACCTTAATTAAAATACTATTTCTCCTCGTGAAAAATGATTGCAGAATGCTTGATATCTCTTCTTTGTTCTTCTTTAAAAATTTTTCTTCGCTTCTCGGGTCGCAACCTTAGAACTCTATACCACTGGCTAGGGTTCATAAAGATTAGAACAGATTGATGTTTTCTCTCTTTTAAACATGGAGTTAGGTTTGAAATGTTAGAATTTTTGGGAGTTTTTCGAGAGAGAGAAAACAAATGAAACTTTCATGGGCGATTGGAACTCAATTTGGGTTCGCTAGAATCTTAGGAAGTCAATACCATGGGTTCTCGGACAAACTTTTGGGTTCGCCAGACAACCCAAAGAACCCACGATTTGGGTTCTCAGGCGATGTGGGTTCTCAGGCGATGTGGGTTCTACCGACGAACCCAATCGTGGGTTCCAAGCTCTTCCCAGTCGACGAAGAACATATCATGGACGGAGTAAGGAGATGGAGAAGGATGAAGACAAACGGAGAATGCCATTGGTTTATAAAAGCCACATAAGCTATGTACAAAAAAAAAAAAAAAAAAAAAAAAAAAAAAAGGAAAAAGGAAAAAGAGAAGGTTAGTTCTGTTGACGCCCTTAATGACATGTCAACAATTTCTTTCATTAACTGTAGCTAATGGAGGTGACCAAGGCGCTGAGGATTTAAATTTTCATATTAAAATTTTTTAAATTTGAATCGTAGAATGGTTGAAGAAGGGTTTAAAAAAAGAAAAGTTATCTCTTAATTTATAATTTTTTATTGAAAAAAAACAGTAATTATCAAACTAGAGAGATTATTACAATTTTTTTTAAGTAGTGGGACACAATGACCTTTTTCGTAATACTTAAGGATTTTTATTGACATTACGCCTATATACTTTGGAAAATTGCAATGCTACTTTATCTCCATACGTATAGGACATATATCTGGACCCAGAGAATTTGCAACCTTGGATGTAATTGGTACAGCCTTATAATAACACGGTGGCATGTCGTTCGGTGGTGGTGGCAGTTTGGCCTCTGGAGATTTGCCATTTTTAACTATGAATACTGCATCCATGCCCCAGACCATGTGTCGATCGAAGTGGCAATGCATGTACCACACTCCTATTCAAGAAGAAAAAGGAAAAACATAAAAGAAGTCATTGACAATTAAAACAATGATAATTTTGAAATGTGTGTCGAAATTACTTTAAATAAAACTCGAACGTTAATTGGAAAAAAACAAGTATTCAGTGCATGAACCATACGCAATCAATATATAGGAATTCTATTAGCATGTTAAAAAATAATATTGATACAAATACTCTTTCATTTAATATATTTATTAAAAAATAAAATTAAAGGTAAAAAAGCTTAAAATTATATCTATGTGTATACTATGAAGGAATTGATTGAACTTAATATATTTATATTATATTTTAATCACTAAACTAATTAAATATCAACATGTATATCAAACTAGAGATGATTAAAACTTAGAAAATGCCCTATACTTTATGTTCTAATAAATTTCATTTTGCAAATAAAAAAATTATACGTACCAGGATTGTTAGCTTTGAATCTAATGGTGAGCCAGCCTTTTACGGGGACAATAATGGTGTTTTGAAGGGGAGGGTCGACCAGATTATAGGTTAAGGGATCCTTCTCATTATCAAAATTCCCCAAACCCACCCCCACAACATAGAAACTAAACCCATGAAGATGCATTGGATGGTCGCTGCCTAGAAGCAAGCTTGTCCCTTGAAAAACAAGCTCCACTGTGGAATTATAATCCAGTATCTTCACTTCTGTCCCCCGAGTCGGTATCTCGTAGCTCAATGGATAATACTCCTCAGTGAAGTTATAAAATAACGGAGGAAAATCAGGAAACCGGATCCCAAACACACCAGGAATACAATAATAGTAAGCTTCTAATATATCAATTTCAGGATTGACAAAACTTATGTTGTTCACACTAGCTAAGAGTCTCGTCCCATTTGGCCCTGCACATGAGAATTTTTTATATAAGCCAAACAACAAATTTTTCATTATGGGTAATCTATTCTCTTAGGCCTAAACTTTTGAGGGACTCACACTTTCTTCCTCAATCTTTAAAATTAGTAATTATGTCCTTATCCTTTTTAACAGTTAGACTTTTTTAAATAGCATGTGTATTTGGCTCAACTACTTTTATGTTTGGTTTGAAGGGAATAGAGAGGAAGGGAAATGAGGGAATTTTTTATCAATTAAATTGTAATATTTAAAAGTATTACAATTTAATTAGTTAAAAAACTTTCTTCTCCATTTCTCTCAATCCAAACATATTAGTACAAAATCTACAAATTGCCAACCCTTCAAATATCAAGTAAATCTTCACTCATAATTCCACTCAGCACATTTGAATAAAAAATTATTAATGAAAAATTCAAAATTATATATAGAGTTTGAGGAATAAAAATATTATTTACCCTGTAATTAATATTTTCATATTTAATCATTAAAAAATAAGTATACTTCGAAATAAATACCCGAGCATGAGTTGTTTGGGCATGGAAATGTGTTCATTGAAAGAGTATAGAACAAGTATGTGTTTATTTCCATTGGCACGTCAATTGGATGCTCCTTATCAGCTAAGCTCCGAAGACTGGCTGTAAAATTAACAGATGCAAGTGTGTCGTTATAGTAAGGAAGATAAGGAAACAACGGTGGCGAAGATGGAGTGTAGTTTCCACTGTATTCTACAATAGCTGTGGTGGTGGTGTTGTCGAAAACACCTTCTGCAGCAACAGTGTACGATTTGGCGGCCATGTAATAGTGATTGGGATTTTGGTTGGCTTCTAGAAGGACATCAATGGTTTGGCCCGGAGATATGACAATGAAGCTTCTCTTGAATGGTTTTAGGTAGCTAGCATCGGATCCGACCACGGTGAGATTATGGTCTGCAATGGCGAAAAAGAGCATATCTTGCACAGCAGAGTTGATTATTCGAAGGAGATAAGTCAAACCTCTCTCCACCTTGAGTCTGAATGTATCTACAAGTATTGAAAAAAAAAATAAAAAAGCAGGCAATAAGAAACACTCACAGCTTAAAAAGAAAAGGAAAGAGAAAAAAAGAAAAAGAAAAATGAAAATCTGCCCACCTAACCCTTGAATGGGAAGCCTTTCCGAATGCGGGGGCAGTAACCCCATTTAAAGATCCATTTTTATAGGCTGGATTACCAAAAAGGAACAAAATAAAAATTGGCCAAAGTTGGCCTTTTCACACTTGTATTATTACAAAGAAAGTCTAAATTAATTTCATTTATTTGAAAATTAGGTAAAGACCGTTAGTTCCAATAGTTTCTGAAATTAGTCATTGCATTTGTTTTTGTATATATATTATTCTATGCATTTGTTAGATATTAGTACTTATCAATTGTTTCTTTAAACAATTAAAAGAAAAATATACTACACTATTTCAATAAACTCTCAAAAAGTAAAAGAGTTTGACCTTGTTTAGAGCAAGGATAAAGATCACCGGGTTGGCCATTGATGGTGAAGGCATCGGAATAGTTCCCTTCGCCGCCGGAAAGGAGAAGTTCATCCAATACCTCCTTTATATCTTGTTTCCACCAATCTCCTGCATTTCCAGTAATCCCAAGCATCCCAAATCTTTATTCAATCAATTAAATTTGTTTTTATTTTTTTATGATTTATAATTGTTTTTTAAATACCTAATATGATGGGAATTTCTGCATCAGGCTTGGGGAAGGGATAGGTTGTTCCCCACTTGGGGTATATGATCATAGCACCATATACAGTCGCTCGTGTCCAATCACTATGAGCATGCCACCACAAAGTCCCTTCTTCCGTTGTCAAAATGATCTTTTGTCTAAATTTTGCTCCCGGTTGAATAGGACATTGTGTGATGTATTCTGGACCATCCGTCCATGGATTTCTTGGCTGTGTCACTCCATGCCTGCCAAAAACGCCACCACCATCGTGGGTAACAACAATCTCCTTTTACATTTATGAAGTGATTAAATGGTTTGAGATAATACCAATGAATGGTGAAATTATATTTTCCTCTATTGTAAACATCAACAATGATAGTATCTCCTTTGTGAACATATAAAGTAGGTCCCGGAAATTGGCCATTCACAGTAAGTATGTTCTTCGTGCTGCATAATCTCGTACATGGAACTTCCTTCACCTACATAAACAATTTATGATAAGTACAATGGTATCGTTGATTTCCATTTAAAAAAATCGGAATATGTACTTACAACGAACTTGTAATGCGCCCACGCTCGACGATGGTAGAAAAAGAAAAAGAGGAAGAAACCTAAGAGATGGTAAGTAGGGACTTTCATAGTGAATACCGAGAGGTTGTTGGGATATAGATGAAAAAATCAAAGTGGGATGGAGTTATAAATAGAAGTGCATGTGGCATAATTAAATAATTAACTGTTTAATAAAAAAAATTGTGAGGGGAAATACTAACCGGTTGGAAAGTGAGCACCGGGTGTAGGGTAGTCGAGGAGAAACATGGAAGGTTAGGTGGCAATTAAGTCACGTGAATTAGTGGGGGTAGAGGAACATGAATTATAGGATCAAAAGGTGCAACTTTCAAAAGAAATTGGAACAATGCAATCCCAAGGTTAATTATTTTCATGAGTTTTAGTGTTTGAGATACTCCGCACTTAGGCTTTTAAATATAGTAAATGCGTTTGGAGTACACTTGGATAAATAAATAAATAAATTTTTCTAGGCCAATCAAAAGGAAAAAAAAAGTGCATTTATATCGCGAGTATTACTTGATAAAATCTCAACTACCTAGATTTAACTTGCTTAATTATGCATGGTATTTTGGAGGATGATGGTCGGTTTTGTGTGAATTCTGTAGGGATGGAATTAAAGATGAGAATTCTGTTGGGG